CGGGGCTCCGCCCCGTCCCGCGCCGGGAGTGCGGGCGGCTGAGCCGGGGCCGGTGCTGCTGCAGGGCGGGGTGGAGGGCACGGGTGCAGAGGAGCTTTGCAAGGGAGCGGGTCGATTTTAATGAGCCACGAAGTCACGGGAGTCCCTGGGGCCGCCCGAGCAGACACCTGCTGCCGCTGGGTTTCAAGTTTGGGCGCAGCAGGGATCCGCGGGGGGCGACCGCTGTCGTGCCCCCGTCTGCCCTGCCTGCTAGGAGCAGGGCATCCCGCAGCCATCTCGCTATCCAGGCTCACCGGCAAGGCTACGCGGAGGACGGGGCCCCTGGCTTTCTGATCACGGGAGTCCCTGGGGCCGCCCGAGCAGACACCTGCTGCCGCTGGGTTTCAAGTTTGGGCGCAGCAGGGATCCGCGGGGGGCGACCGCTGTCGTGCCCCCGTCTGCCCTGCCTGCTAGGAGCAGGGCATCCCGCAGCCATCTCGCTATCCAGGCTCACCGGCAAGGCTACGCGGAGGACGGGGCCCCTGGCTTTCTGAACCAGTTCTAGGACAAAATGATCCCGATGGTACAAAACTCTCTTTGCCTTGGGCGCCAAGAAACTTTTGTTTATAATAATGTGTCAAGAGTCAAAAGTTCAGATCAGGCTCCTGGTTTATCGTCTCACAGTCTGCTTATGGCATGCCAGTTTTTGTACCCACTGTGCACAGACATGATGGGCGCATCACCACAAGGGAACATGCGTTTCCCCAGGGAAAAATGGCAGCAGCAGGTAGTTGCCCCATGGCACACACCTGCGCATGTACAGCAAATTGCCCCAGGTGGGGTAGTGGGGGCTGGCCCCAGCAGCCTTACCTGGGGGCTTCCCAGGGCAGCAGCGGTGCAGCTGCTCGGAGCCTGGCCAGCAGCTGGAGCATGGCTCTGGCCAGCCAGGGTCCAGTTTCTGGCAGTGCACACTGCTGCCACATGCGCTGCACTGCTTTTTTGGTGCAGCTGTTTTAGACACCAGGATTTCCTGGCATCTAATTTTGCCACCATGCTGCAAATATGCAGCACAGCAAATGGATTAATGTGCACCACATGCATTTTGCAGCACCTCAAAAGGCTTGGAGGCATCACAAACCACACATTCCTG